CGTGTGTGTGTTAGTGTATATGTAAATATATATATATATGTGTGTGTGTGTGTTTGTGTGTGTATGTGTGTTAGTATATATGTAAATATATATATACACGTGTGTGTGTGTGTGTATGTGTGTGTGAAATCATACATATGTTCGTGTGTGTGTGTGCGCGCGCGTGTGTGTGTGTGTGTGTGTGTGTGTGAGTGTGTGTGTGTGTGTGTGTGTGTGTGTGTATGTGTGTGTGTGTGTGTGTGTGTGTGTGTGTGTGTGTGTGTGTGTGTGTATGTGTGTGTAGTGTGAGTGTGTGTGTGTGAAATAAAATAAGCCGCAACCACAATACGAAAATGGTTTTAAATAGTGAAGCTTTGAACCGGAACAGACTCCCAGGACAATAAGCCAATCTGAACATTTTCCTCTGTGCATTTAAAGATATGGGTGGGTAGGTACAGATGCACATGCGAAGTACAAAAGTATACTTCTATTTGAAATATCTGACAAAACAATATGAATATAGGTCTCTATATACTATACCTACGAGCTATTCTAAATAGCCATAAATGAAATGAATGAAGTAGCCTAGAGCTCCTGTGGCTTCATCAACGATCACTTCGTCCTCGTCTTCAGGCAAGATGAACCTCGAGCGAATGAAAGATACCACCGAGACCACACAGGAGCCTAGTGAGGGCCAGTTACAGAGCAGCAGGTCTTGGTACCAGTGTAGCCCGGCGGGACAGCTGAATCGAAAAGCTCTCGTGTGGTCACAGCGGTAGAAGTGGAAACAGCTTTGAGGGTCAGGCGTGTAGCCCACCGTCTTGCATTCAGTGATATTAATGCTGACCGGAATCTGTTCTGGTTCCGAGACAGTAGACGTTTCAAGAAGTCCGGAGGGCGTCGTGGGGAAGATGATGTTGTCGTGAGTAGCAGCAGCAGTACTAGGAGAAGCATTTGTTATGATGGTACTACTAGTAGTAACTGTGGTCTGTGGAGAGCTTTCTACTAGTGGCCTAGCAGGCGTAGACGTTAAATTGTTCATCTCCAGTCGCGGCCCCTGTCCTCCCATGAGAGTCCTTGATATGGCGGTGAGGAGTGGGTTCCTGCCAGCGCCGCAGAGGCCCTGGAAGTCGTCCATCGTGGTGTCCCAGACCATGACTCCTGCCAGACCCATTCGCCGGGAATACTGTGCCTGGGGAGAACAGTAGCAAATCTGTCTTAGCTCTCACTCTTTCTGATTTTCATATCAGAATTACAATCGTCGTTGTTATCATCATTGTCATTATCACAATGATTATAATAAACATTACCGATGCCATTGTCATTGTTATTTCCATTGTCCCTATCATCGTCATTCTCATTATTGTTATTATCGCTATCACTATTACAATTATAATTATTTCATTGCTAACATTATAATCATCATCATCATTATCATTATCACTATTGTTGTTATAATCAGTATCTTCATTGTCATAATTCAGAGCATTGCCATATGCATAATTGTAATCATTATTATTTTTGTTATAATTATTATTATCATCATCATGCTTATCACTATCATCATTATTATTATCATCTTTATCATTCTCATCGTTATTATTTCTGTTACTATTATTATTATTATTACTATTATTATTATTGTTATTGTTATTATCATTATCATTATCATTATTATTATTATTATTATTGTTATTATCATTATTATTATTATTATTATTATTATTACTATTATTATTATTATTATTAACATTATTGTTATTATTATCATTATTATTATCATTATCATTGTTATTATTGTCAATAGTAGTAGTATCGTTATCGTTATCCTCCTTACTACTGACATCGTTTTTATTTTGTAATCATTATCATTATAATCAAAATGTAATCACTGTGTCATTATAATTGAAATTATCATTGTCACTTTTGTAATTATTATTATGATTGTTATTGTCATTATTATTATCATCACTGTTAATATCATTATTATTATCATTACTATTTTCAATGTTATTGTTATTATCGTTATTTCCATTATCATTGTTATTGTTATTATTATTATTATTATTATTATTATTATTATTATTATCATTATTATTATTGTTGTTGTTGTTGTTATTGTTATTAGTAGTAGAAGTATTATCATTATTATTATTATTCCTTATTACTGTAATTATCTTTATCCTATTATTATTATTATTACTTGTAATAGAAGTAGTAGTATCCCTATTATTATTAATGTAATCGTCACAAAATATGATGCAACAACAATGTTAACAATGATAATTGATATGATCAACTGTAATGATAACATACTGTCTGTGTGATTTCTTTCATTTTTTTCCATTATTTTCACTATCATTATTACTATCGCTATCATCAGTATCATCATCTTAATATAATTCTAATGATATTGTTGAACTTTGACGTTCATCTACCCTTTTACTAATAATACTAATATTTGTTTTATCATAACCGCCCTATGGCATTCTCCGGACTTTTTCAGACAAGACACGGCAGT